AGACACTTGATGGCACGGGACGGCCATTTCGTCCCGTCCCGCCTGTACCGCGAATTATTTTTTTTTGAGTTTTAGCCATTGGGCAACGGCTTCAATTGCCAAAATAGTCGTTCCCAACGGCCAAAAACGGTCAAAAATGGCCTCCACCGCCCCCTCCCCCCCTCCCCCAACTTTTAATATAACCCCTAAATTTATTAAATTACACTTTGGTCCTATTTTCTACTATAAATACCCCCATCCTTCTTCATTTTTCTCACAAAAAATCAATCATCCTCTCTCAAATCTCTAACATTATATCTATATTATTCTCTCAATTTTGTTACTATCAACTATCAAGTGATAACTTTCAAGTATTTGGGTAAGTTTTGGGAGCAACTTTCAAGCTTCAAATTAATTCGTCAAGTATTTGGAGCAATATTTTGGGCAATTTTTTCAAGTTTCAATATTTAATCACGGTGCACTCGTTCCATCTCCTAATTTTAATATATAATTTTTGCGTATCATTTTGGTGCTTAATTTTTGTGTTTACTTTACGTGTTCTATTTTCGTATTTCATTTGTATGTTTAATTTTTGTGTTAACTTTTTTTAGTTTAATTTCGTATTTAAATTATGGCGCCTCAAAATGTATTTGCCGTGTTTAAAAAAAGTAGTAAATATTATCTGGTATATATTATCCTACTGTTAAAAAGAGTAGTAAATCAAAGAGCTTATTAAATTTTTAATTTTTTTTATTATGCTACAAAATAATTTTCGGGTATATATTATCTTACTGTTACACAAATATTATGGTATATTTGTGGAATTTTTGTTGTATTTGGTAAGTGTAAAACAAATCCAACTTATGCACTATAAAATGATTTCAAAATTTAAAAAGTATTTTTTCCCTATTCCCCAAGTTTATTTAGTTTCTACTCTACTTAACCCATCTTTAAAACTAAGAGGTGCAAAGGGACTTGTTCGTAAAATTTATGAGAATTTAGCAATTCAAGAAAATGAACAACCATCTCTCGAAGAATGCCAAGCTAGCATATATTCTTATGTTAGATCAATGTTTGATAAATATAAATCTATGGAAACAACAGGTTGTGAAACTGCTCCTTCTACTTCTAAGTCTAGAGCATATGTTTTATGGGAAGATATGGATGATATAACAGGTTTTGATTCCTCTATTGATGATGAACTTGATTCTTATCTTAATCAAGGATTATAAAGTATTAAAGACGAAGAAGGCAACGAACAACTTTTGGCATGGTGGAGGGAGCGTGGCAAGGCTTTTCCAAAACTTTCAATAACGGTCCGAGATATCCTGGCTATTCAAGTATCATCAGTAGCATCGGAGAGTGCTTTTAGCGCGGCAAAATTTTAAATTGGAGATTATAGACATGCATTAGCAGAGGACAGTCTAGAGATTTCCATATTATTCAGAGATTGGATTAATTCAGAAAGAAGAAATCTTCGTTTTGAAAAATTAACCACTAGGGAAGAAGAAGAATACAATAAGATAGTTAGCACTGGGAGCGATGACGGCATGCAGCTCATGGAACATCAATCAACATTGCCAATTCCAGAACAATGTCCGAGAGATATTATTGATAAGTTACAAAGAAGCTATATAGGAGCTTACAAATATTAGTATGATAATATGTAATTGGCTATAAGATGCCTAGTTCAAACAGAACCCTTCCTAGAAGGTGGTTGCGTAGATTAGGTGCTCTTCAAAAAAAAATTATATTTGTATGTGAGATTTGAAAGTTCTATTAATAAAATAAAAGGCTCTAAGCGTTGAATTTTTTTTATGAATTGTCTTAGTTACTTAATACTTTGAAATTATATTAAATAAATTGTAACTCTATTATAATTACTAGAATATTTCATTACAAGTCTTTTGTTTTAATATTTTATAATTCTTTACTTAGTTTTCTAATTTTCGTTTTAACATTTAAGTTTATTAAATAAGTCAAAAAAACTAATCGTTGCAAACTTTAAAAACTTAGTCATTGTAAAAAAACTAGACGTTTTTTTTAAACTGCACTTAAGGCCCACGAACCCGTCCCGCCCCATTCCGTCTCATCCAGTTTGTTAGCGGGACGGGATGGGCCGACCGTTTCGTCCCGTTTGTCTCGTCCCGTTTCGTCCCGTCCCGCTTAAATCTCGTCCCGTCCCGCCCCGTTTCGTTGGACAGCCATACCAAAACCCTCAAAATTGAGATATAAACTCTAAACAATATTCCCAATTGTTTGCAACAATACCCAATCCAAACAAATAATGGTTTTTGAAAATCCAAATTCGAATTCAAAGCTTCAAAGCTTTGTAATGGTTGTCACTGGGTGGGGAGTCAAACACCTTCAAAATTTATTGATTGACAATTTCAATTTGAACACCAATTGTGCAACATGAAAGAAAATTGCTAAGTTAAAACTCTATAGTAAAACGATTGAAATCCATTGATAAATTCCATTAAAAATATATACAACATGAAAGGATAAAAAGTAAAGAACATCAGAGGAACAAAAATTGGATAGAGAGACGGAGAGAGAGAGCGCAGGAGAGAGAGGATAGGGATGGGAAATAACTAATTCCTTATTCAATTCTTAATATAAAGGAATACTCATTTAAAACTAATTTGTATATGATTGATAAATTATATACGACCTTGTAATTAAGTTAAAACTTGATTAGAGAAAGTAATAAAGTTTCATATATAGTATAGGAAGGTAAAAATTCCAATATAAAAATATTCCTTACGATTAGTTCCTCTTGCACAGGTAACTTGCTCCTGGAGAAGACCAACCATGCATGTTCATTTATAAAAATTCTTTTTACCAAGCCACCTTAATTATTACTCCATATCTCAACTTATATTCCGTAGCTCGAATTTTGAGAGTCAAATTTCTTATTTTCATTGTTAAATTCAAATATAAAAGTTTTAAGTTTTTTAAACAAAATTTATATATTTTGAAACTATATAAAAAATACTATTATAAGTAACAATAGTTAATAATTCAGAATATCTAAAAGACATACGAAAAAGTCATAGGCAAAGAGGAATCAGAACACTACACAAACTACTATAATATGATATTAACAGAGCAATTATCTCACAAAAACTAACATGTGTGTTTATATATGAATTATATTCCTCATTTACATTATATAGCTAGTCTATATGCTGTTACGAAATACTATTTATATAATGAAAATATACAGAAAAATAGGTAGTATACTAATTATTAACAACACTCCGCTCTTCGTTCAAGCAAATTAAGCAGATACATCCGACTAGTCTTCTTTATCATCAGTTTCATTTTCATTAATTCACAAACTGTTTAGAGCCCTGCAAATTTTAATCCAAACAAAACTAATGTTAGTAGTAATTACATTTCATCAAAAAAAAAAAAGTAAACAACATAGATTTCTGCTTATAATCCAAGACTTTTTAACTAAATTGCAGTAAAAAATCTTGCTAAATCAAAAAATTAAGAAAAAATACGAAAAATCTAGACGCTAGATTCATGTTTAAACAAAATTGCAATTATCTCATTGAAAATCTCTAAACCATAATTAACCAAGAAAAGCATTGATCTCGACATGCAACAACTTATCCTAATCAAGAAAATAACTTTAGAATCAAGAATTTTAGGTATTAATTAGATAGTAAACTTTAGAAACAAAATGCAAAATTACTATAAAAAAATAAAAAATAAAATGCTGACCTCAGGGTTGTTACTGTGATCCTCTTCATTATAATCAGAACAAGTGATCATCTCCTTCATTCAGAAACTGAATTAAAATCTGCAAAATCAATTCAACAAAAAATTAAATATGAATGTTACTACAGACGTACGATAAATAATATATTACTAGTACATTGCATTTCACCTTTCTTTTGGTAGTCTTTTCAGAGTTCACAGCTGCCGGAGCCAGAATATCAGCATCAGTGGGAACAGAAATTGATCTACGAAGAGGACGTTGCCAATTAAAGGCAGAGATATTAATGTTCTTGTCATTTTCCGGGGACTGAGAATTCATGTACGTAACAAAAGCAGTAAAAGAATTGAAAACTGGTGGTTCTGAGAGTGTCCGCCGCAGAATGTTATTGTGCGGCTGAGTTGTTGTGAATCTTGAAAATGGGAGTGGTGAAATGGCCGGATTATTAGTTGTGGTTGTTGAACACGTGGAAAATGGTGATTTGTCAGATACCCTTTTGGAGGAAAAGGGTGAAAAAGCAGGGGATGGTGTTTTTTCCGGTACCCTTTCGGTGGCGGCGGCGGTAGAGGAGGAGGATGGTGGGGGATGGAGAGTGATCTTTTTGGGGGAGGGTTCATCAGAAGGAGAAGAAGGTGGTGGTGGTGGAGATTTTCTCTTCAGAGAGACACTCTTCAACCTGCAGTTTTCACCGGTGGAGACGGCGGCGGTGGTGGCAGAGGGGTGGTGGAGGACGGCGGAGGAGCTGTGAATGCTGGAAGTCATATTTTGCTCTGTTTTTGTTTCTTGGAAAGTCTGTTGTAAAATTTTTCTTACAACTGATTTCTTGAAGCTGAAGAGCGCGCAATATATAACGAGATTTTGCTGCTAGCAGTTGAATTTAACCAATAAAAATTTGACACGTAGCAAAAGATAAGTGAAAACAATAGCAAACGAGTACTTTTTTTTTTCCACAGTATCATATCATATGTGGTTATTTAAGAAATTGAGTCCACTTCTGAATTATTTTTTTAAAATTGATCTTCTTTTTCTTTCAAGAGTTGAAAGCAAAAGTAGGTAAATTTACTTGGAAGTAATCGATTTTCTTTATTACCTCCATGATTTGTCAAGATATTTTTTGACAATTATAGTGAAATGTTATTGTAGAGAACATTATTATAATTTAACATAGCAGTAAATATGAGTTCTAAAGAAAACTTAGCCATTATAGCGATATGTTTTAATTTTTAAAATATTAGTCAAAACTTAACTTATTTTGAGTTGCGTAGCCAAAATGTCCGATATTTGGGAGGAGTAATATTTGGGAACAAAAGTAATTTACACGCATACGTTGTTTGGCCAAGCTTTTTTTTGGGTCAAAAGTGCTTATTTTGGCCAAAAATTGAGATGTTTGGCCAAGCTTTTGGAAAGAAAAAAAGTGTGTTTGAGGAGAAGCAGAAGCAGTTTTGGAGAAGCAGAAAAAAGTAACTTCTCTCAAGAAACACTTTTCTGAGAACCACTTTTGAAAAAAATACGCTAAGAAGCAGTTTTCAAAAGCTTGGCCAAACACTAATTACTGCTCAAAAGTATTTTTCAAATTAATTAGCCAAACACAAACTGCTTCTCACCAAAAGCACTTTTTTAAAAAGTACTTTTGAGAAAAGCACTTCTCAAAATAAGCTGATTTTAGAAGCTTGGCCAATGAGGGCCGATCCGATAGAGAATCACACTTCAATAAAAGACTCAAAAACTAAAATTGAGGAATTACATTAGAGGCTTACAAGAGTTTTGCATACAGTAGGCAGACTAGTACCCTATGAACTAACTTAGTACAGTTTCCTGAACTCAAGACCACTTTGGTCTGATTTCTGAAATAAAAGAAAATCTCACAATAACAAGTACACACTAATTCCTAAGAAATTTAGCTACTGCTACAAAATAAATAGTTGGAATTTGATGAAGACATAGGAGGGTTGGGTGGTGGGAGAGCTATGATACCTAAGTTGCCTCAATGAGGTGACAAAAACACTACATTATGGTTTACATGACAATGTCCTGCCTGATACACCTCAAACTAAACTGGTTAATCGATAAAAAGCTATCCTTTTTGTAAATCACCAGTTGCACCAAGAGCAGACAAATATTTATCTTCCCTCGTTTTGGCTTGAAAGACGAACGTTCTTCTCACCATCCCAAACATCCCAGCTCACTTGAGCAAAGTTGCTTATAAGCTTACAGAAGCCAAAGGAAACATACATGCAGGATCACTATGTGGAGGCTTACGAAGGTAAACCGTATCTCACTGCTCAGCCAGGAAGGGGTTCCGAAGATTTGCGAAAATCAAGATGTCAGCTCGAAATGTCTTTCTAACAGTGACTGAACCTCAACAAGAGAAGACACCTTATAGTCTGGTTGGTGTTCGACGTTTGCATATTCTGGAGCATCATACCTTCCTGTTTCGTCGAGCAAGCAAGTAAATGCTCCAGCTCGTTTGCCACAAGCAACCTGTGATCAAACCCCCAAAAATTTGCTCACAACACATACCATGACTTTCTAAATGACAAGAAGAAAATGAAAGAAATTTTATTTCAGAACGCTAAGCAAAGGATAAAAGTAACTACATAGAAGTGTGAGACAAAGCTCGTACGCTAAGAACTGCTAAAGAATAAAGCAACTATAGAAGTAAATCAAGCAGGAAAATTGCCAAGAAGGAATTCGAGTATCATGATATAGGAACCATGCTAACTCAGTACCTTGTAAATTAATAATTTTAAAGTAGCCCAATATTCTATCCATACATATCCCAAGCACAAAAGTAATGTCAAGTCAAAATGCCAATTAGAACCAACACGAATTAGTTAAAAACTCAGTCAAGCTAAGTGAAGGCAAATGTTATCTTTTGCAGAGATGCACTCAATCACATATTAAACAGCACGGACGTGAAAGGGAAAAAGAGCAGTAAGCTTGAGAGGAAACTCACGTCATCTTTAAGGCTGTCCCCAATCATCATTACTTCATTAGACTGAACTTCCCAAGTTGAACAAATATGCAGCAATGGAGCTGGATCTGGTTTATAAGGACGAAATTCCCTGCTCAGTGCAGGAGAAAATTTCACCTGTATCAAAAAGAGATTCTAAACTTAAACTTTATATAGTATACATAATAAGGACCAGGGAACTAAGTGTGAACCAGATAAGCTGAGGTGAAAGATATATTACAGCTGAAATGGAGTGATTTTCCAAACAAAGATGAGAAAGACCAGCAAATTTACAGCAAAAGATAGGATTGCTACAAAACTAGCCTTTTTACCCTTTTATTTTTTGTCGCTTAGGGCATTGAAATGAACTATCTAAAAGCGCTAGAGACGACAAAATATTCTTCTCAAATAAAAAAGACATGATCTAAACAAATTTGCCAGTATTTCTCGCAAACTTTCCATTAAACCTGATTGCCTTTTTTTTCTTGTTAAGTACATGAAACCTGATTGCTTTAACAGAAAGTGCATGGTTACCAAAATGCTGAAAAGAGATGCTCCATCACAAAAAGTAGGATTTTTGCATCTGAGAAGAAATGCATGAAGTCATGAACATCCTAGAAAGTTTTGCTGTTGCAAGACGACTACAATACAAGCAAAAGATGATTTAAGAGCTGCAGAATGAATGGTGTCTGCAGACTTTCCTTATGACTATTTGAAGCGATTTTCCATTGGTTTATAACTTATGAGCCTAAAAAAAAGAGAAGTTGTGAACTACCTACAGCGGAACCAAGGCTAAACAAGATCAAGAAGTCAATTTAAAACTTTCAAGGGTTCTTTTATCACCTTTGATGAGGAAGTAAATTCACTGGAACTCCATGCTTATTTCCATTTCTTTTTCTAGGTTTGCATGCTTAAAAGATGGTCTCTTATTTTTCTTTTAACTATGATTTGCAGATTTAGTCTCACCTAATCCAATTTTTGCTAACAGAGCACAAAGAGGGTATTGTCCACCTTTCCTTCCTCTTTCTCTGTGCTACATGTTTCAGCTACAACAGAACTCCACACCATGTTACAAAAAGTTTCTTAGATTATCTTTTAACAGTTCAGCCACAAGGCGGATCCTGTAACGAAATGAATTGAGCATAGCTCAACAACTGTCTTTACCTCCTTCTCCCAAATGGTAGCGGAGTTAGAGCAACATAATTGTGAGGGAACCGTTCATCCTCTACTTTAGCTGCTCTTCTCTGTTTGACTATAAGAGCTTACAGATTCGCCACCACACTAAAGGCACAAATATCCTGGGCCATCACGACTTTTAGCAGGCTCATGATCCTCTGATTATGCTAATAGGAGAAGAAGAAAAATTTAAGATTGAATATCCATTTCATTTTCCTATTTGCCTTTACTTCAAACTAAAGAAGTTAAAGCTCAAGAAAGTAGATGTGTTCTTCCTCTTCCTTCTCCTATGCAGTGATGATATACTTGTTTCATTCCTTCATAGAACTAGCAGCTTTTTTTTCTTCTTTCTGGAAAATCCAGTTATCTTTATTCACTAACTTCAAGCACACATTATCAATATAAAACTCAAGCCAGAACAGTTGTTTTACATATTTAGCTGAAGGGAGGAAAAACTTACTCCAAAGCGTACATGAAACAAGTCAACTGCATCTTTGACATTTCTAGTGATTAATCCCCTTCTGAAATAGAATCACAAAACCGAAAAATTATTTTCTTCCCAAGTGCCACGAATATCTAACTATGAAATAACATCTCCTTCTAGTATAATGAGTCAATGTCAGTACTTTTCAATAGGAGGGAAGCATACGTAACATCTGTCCAGTACCACAGACACAGAAATGCGAACTGTTTCCATCTAATTTATCAGAGATGTCATGATAATTCGGCTTCTGGAGCTTAACTTGAATTATGTCATTTCTCTCATCTAATCAAAAGTGTGGTCCACGGGAATCCACCGACGGTGAAGAGCATAAAATGATGTAAGATGCCTTTGACAGGTCTTTGAAATTTTATAAATCTCACGAGCTTAGTATTCCATTACAACTTACCTATCCCAAAAGAACGAAAGCATTTTGTTACAACAGATTTATCAATTGGAATATAATTTGGCTACATCCTCGTGATAGTCAAAAAGGAGAAAACCACTAAGTGATGCATCCTAAAACAATGCAAAACAGAAGCCTAAAAGACCAATAAATTGAGAGAAAAAGTTTTATGCACAAGAGCAATGCCAATCAAGCTACCCGGGGAACTATATTGTAATTTGTAAATACTCGAAAAAATGGAAAAGAAAATGTGGCCAATTTGCATCCCAGGGCTTTGGTTCACTAGCGAAGGTAGTACAAACCGGAATGTGTAGTAAGAGCACATCACGAGTGCGGATCCCGACTAGTGAACCAGGTTTGGTATTTAAGTTTAGAAGGGTAGAGGAGCATGTGCATGATCCATCGAGTTGAAGTTGGAAACACCGGATTTCTTGGTTTAAAGAGAAAGGCCTGGCGAATCTGCATTCTTGCATCCTCAAGCAGTCTTAAGAAGCGCTTTATTGAACTTCAAGCCGTACCTCAAGAATCAAGATGGCAACTTTTCAAAGAATAAGCAAAGGTAAGGAGTGGGCAAGAAAACTAAGCCACCATTAGACCTTAGGCCGTGACATAGACACAACAAAATAGATGGGCAAGGGCGATACAGAGAGAAGAAGGAAAAATAACTACTTTGATGTAGGAAAATGCTCAAACCGGTTACCGAGGAACTAAATAAAGAAAAGAAACAAAGACAAAGGCTCTTGTAGCTCACAAGGAACATAACATCAAAAATGAGAATTGATAGTTCAGTTCAAGTATATGAATCCTCCATATCCATACAGCTCAATTTGGGCGCCCATTTCATCCAATTAAATACTTTTTCTTTAAGGACATGAGCCCGTTTGGACATAACAATTTTTTCGAAAAAAAGTTTCACTTTATTTTTTTTGAAATTTTACAATTCTTATGTCCAAACGCCCACTAAAATAACCTTTATAAATGCTTGTGCTATAAAACTATATAGCTTCTACTCTGGCATACTAGATGCTAATAAGGAACTATATATTTCGACAGTTGAAAACATCTTCTCAATAAGTGTTATTATTTTCAATTTTGTTTGCATAAGTAAGTCTTACCTAATATTCTTAGAATCAAGAAAACTGCAAAGTTCTGCAGCACCTGCACCAAATAAAAATTAACAAGAGAACCAATAAATCAACAGTATAACCTCAAAACACAAGGGGAAAAAATCAAAAAAGACTCGATTTTTACCCAAAAAATGAAATTACCAGGCATAATTTGGAGGCGATCCTGACCCTGTTTTTCAAAATCAGCAATAATTTCATAAGCCCGACGTTGCTTATCGGGGCTCCAATTTTCAATGAGGTGCAAAATATCAATGCCAGAAGGGTTCTTGGATTTAACGGCAAGGTACTCATCATGACCAAGAACAGCCTTATACATGGCTTGAAAATCAATAACGGGAACCGTTAGGGTTCCGTCCATGTCAAATACAACACCCTTAAGACGGGGTTTTGAAGAAAGAGAAATTGAACTGGATGTAGATATAGCCATTGTTGAAAAAGAAGAAAGTGTTCTTGTTGTATGTAAAAAAAGGAAAGCTTTTGAAAGTAGGAGCTGCATTTATTTACAGATGGTGTAATGTAATGAATTTGTTAGAGCATAGAGATGGAAATAAAGAGGGAGTATGTGATTAGAAACAAGACAAGTGGCAGTGAAGTAAAATTGATTTTTAAGGTTGGTGTTGGAGAAGAAGACAAAGATTGTCATAAAAGGAGTATGATGCAAATGAGTGTGTTTTTCTAATTTCGGGAATACAATTGTAGAATATTCTTTCCTTTTAGTCGCCCTCTAAAAATATTGTATGCTACCAAATTCAGATATTAGTACATTGTTTTGCCAACCTAAATTCAAAATGTTAGTATATATTGTTAGAAAAATAAGACCATTCTATTTTCTTGTCAAATTCACACTTAGTGCGCCATTTAATAGTGTCTTAGTTAATTAAGACAGACATATAAAAGACATTTTAGACAAATATTTTTATGTTTAAAACTATTAATCCTTTTTTAATAATGTGCTGAAATCTTTTATAAAAATTGGTAATACTATGAATTACCATTGATATCAAATAATAAGAGTACACATATAAAAGCATCTCGAACCCAAAACTTCCTTATTTGGATAGCTCTGGATCTGGCCTTAGAATATCACTAATTACACAACAAACTTTGTATCAATACACTGCGTCTCTGTCCTTTCTTAGTATGTCTGAGAAAGTTAATCCTATCACCCAACTCTTTTTTTTATCTGCGTTACAATACTCTCCACATTTACAATTATATTCCTGCAAATTTTTCAGATCCTGGCCTTCCAAATATGGTATATTATTGTTGCCAATAACGCAACTACAACCTCTTTCTTAAGCAGCTATCATTTCTTCCTTTTAATTATGTACGGACTCTTTGTATATCTCTCAGTTGCATTTGTATTCTTGCCTAATGCATTAGAGTGTCTCGAACAGCTTTGGACCATGGACACTTCACAAACAAGTGTTGGTTTGTTTTCACTGCTTGATCATCACATAACACACATTTATCTTCATCCACCTGTATGTGAAGAGTACTTAGTCTGGCCTTAGTGAGCAGTCTTTTTTGAGTAGCTAACCACATGATGATCCTATATTTTGGTTGAGCTATTGCATTCCAGAGAAGATCAGTTGTTGGTCATCTCCTGTGAGGACCTTTAATGTCTATATAACTCCTTGAGATAGAGTAGTTCTCATTGACATTCAGCTTATAGGTGTCACCTTGGTACCGGCTCTTCATCTCCTCCTTAAGAGAGTTTAGTTTTCTCCAAATACCAACTACAATCCTGTGGAACTTTATGAGTCCAAATATTGACATCAGACTTCATACAGATCCCATGAACCCATTTGACCCATAGGGAGTCCTTTTTCATGACTAGTTGCCATAGTAACTTCCCAACAAACTCTTTTTTCCATTTCCTACAGCTTTTAATGTTGAGACCTCCATACTTCTTTGGCAGGCAAACTTTCTCCCAAGCTACCAGTGAAAGCTTCTTCTTCTCGCCTGAGCCGCCCTACACACACTGTCTACACTTCTTGTCAACTTCCTTCATTATATTCTGAGGTAGTATAAAGACTGTCCCCCAGAAGCTATGAATCGAGAATAACACTGCAGTAACCACCTGAAGCCTCTCTGCATAAGACAACTACTTAGCGTAGCTGAATTTGATTTTGCTAGTGATCTTCTCAATAAGCTGATAATAATCCAGCTTGCTCCACTTCTTAGATGATAGTGGTAAATTAAGGTACTTTATAGGAAAAGTACCTAAAAGAACCCTGTATTACTTAGAAGAGTTTCCTTCATTTGATCATCAATGCCCACAAACATGCGAGATTTGTCCATATTAGCCACCAATCATGATACACTACTGAAATGTGCTAGAGCCTCTAGGACTCTATTCACTGAACCAGTCCCCCCTTGTAAAATACCATGATATCATCAGCAAATACTAGATGTTCCAGCTTTAGTTGCTTGCACGTAGGATGAAATTTAAAATCTGGTAGAACACTCACACTTCCCAATGTCCAAGACAAATACTCCATAACAAGAACAAATAATAAGGGTGAGATGAGATCACCTAGTCTAAGACCTTTTTTCCCCCTAAAAAATCATGACTTTCTCCATTGACATTAATAGAGAAATTGGTAGAGGTTACACGTGCCATAATTAATTCTGTGAATTTGGTTGGAAAACCATAGCCAATCATGACCTCCTCTAAGAATCTCCAATTTACCATGTCATATGTTTTCCTCATGTCTTTTCATAAGACACCTAGGAGTATTCTTCTTATTATAGTGCCTTATATATCATGACAAATAACAATATTATGGAGCATAGATCTGCCAGGCATAAATGTTGATTGGTTATCTTGCATCAGTAACCTCTTCCCCTATAATAGGCCAGGTTGACTTAAAGAAGCCACTACCATATCCATCAGGACCTGAGCTCTTATTACTGCCAATTTGGATCATAGCAGTTTTCACCTCTTTCCTCTCAAATGATTTCAATATGTCCACCTACTGTGTAGTTGTTAAAACATGTCCATTTTTTATGAATGCTTCAGCTGCTTTAGTTCTACTACTTGATTTATTTCCCAATATTTTTCATAGTATGTGACAAATACCCGAGCTATACTCTCTGGATCTGTTTGCCAAACATCTTATTCATCATTCAATTAAGCAATTGCCTGATGGAGTCTTTTATGTTTGATGACTGAATAAAAGTATCTTGTACTATCATCCCCTAACATATCCATGTTGCTTTACTTTTTTGTTGTAAATAGACCTCAGCTAAATAAGAGGAGTGCGTGAACTTTTGATACTTCTGATGCTCTTCCTGCTGCAAGTTTAGATCTGTTGGATTTAGTTATAATTGCTTATGGACTTGTAATAAAGCGTCCCTATCCTCCTTGGCTTCAAATTCAATATTCTTGAAGAAGTTCTCGTTAAAGCCTCGCAAAAATTTCTTTAGTTGTTTCAATTTTCTCACCCCCCCCCCCTCCTTAGTATCTTGCATCCTTCAGTCTCTATATTCTAACCCCTCCTAACCTGCTCCAGGAATTGTAGATGATGAGTCCATACATTGTAAAACTTGAAAGATTTCCTACCACTAGGTCTCTCATTGTTCAGCACAACTTTCACTAGACAATGGTCACTAATACCTTCAGGAAAAAATATTGCTTTGCAATCATGCATTGAATCAAGACATTCACTGTTGATGAATTCCCAATCTATTGGGTAATTCTCAGACCACACACTTCTATACAGTTATTAAAATTCACTACTTCAACCCATGAAACATGATTTCTTCCTATTCTATCCTACATAGTTAACACATAGTTGAAATCACCAATAACCAACCATGGCCTTGTGCAACCTACTAATTGGTTCTCAAGATACTCCCACAATCATCTTCTTTCCAATCAGGCATTGAATCAAGCAATTCACTGTTAATGAATGCCCAATCTATCTTTGAATATATCATTTGATCACTATGTTTATCATTCCATGAATACGTATACCCTTAATTACGTAATTATATCATACCACACACTTTTATACAGTTATTAAAATCCACTACTTCAGCTCGTGAAACAGGGTTTTCTCCTATTCTATCCTCCATAGTTAACACAGAGTTGAAATTACCAATAACTCAACCATGGCCTTGTACAACCTACTAGTTGGTTCTCAAGATACTCCCACAATCCTCTTTTTTCCTCCTTAATGTTAAAAGCATATACAAAGGACAATCCAAATGTAACCTGAACGGGGAATATAGTACACCTCACATGACAACACCTGTGCAGTCATATTTATAGGTGTTACCCTATAGAAGTCAGATCCCCAAACCACAATAACTACCATTGTAATGTGTGTTCAGATTAGTAGTATAGCTCCAGCCAGTAAATTATTTTTCTATAACTTGTTGAACCTTATCTTGTTTTAGTTTAGTTTCCAGCAAACCAATCAGACATGCTCTTACATCATGTAGAGGAGCTTCACCTCCCTCTGCTTACTAGGGGAATTTAGGCCCTTGACATTCCATGCTAAACAATTAACCATTCCTCGAATGAGGAATGACCGAGCCTCCCACGTTTTCTCCTGTTACCTTTTTGCCTTATTCACTAGTACCAGTTTTATTCAGTACCTGAAAGGAGTTGCCTTGCACTACTTGTTGATCCTTGACTTGCTGATTTCTCCCTATTTTCAAGAGGTGTAATACACCCTCTATTAGTACCACCGGCTTTAGGTAGCATACTTGAACCAATAGACCTTTTCCCAACAGCTAGATCTCTGTCAATAATTGAATCAGAAGGTTGTTTCTCAGGATTTTTTGAGCCTGTTGCTTGCTCCTTCTCATTTTGTTTCTCGTTCTCCTTTTTGATTGGTTTTGGAGAATTCTTTTTCCTACACACCTCTTCATAATATCCATACTTATTGTAGAACTTACAAAGAGTGGGTTTCTAATCATATGAGACTTTTTGTTCCACAACATTGCCCTTCTTATTCCTAAACATCACCACTTCTAGAAGAGCAACATCCATATTCACTTCTACCAGTAGACTAAGACCAACCTTTTTGTTAGTGTTCTGATCAACCATTAGAGGTTTTCCCACTAAGCTATCTATTTTACTCAACCCCTTCGCACTCCAGTATTTGAAATCCAATCCTGGGAATTTGAACCAAATTGGCACAGTGTGCAGCTCTTCACAAGTGGGTTCCATATTCGGACTTCAAGCTTTCACTATGAGAGGCTTATTGTCAAAATGGTATATTCCACCTTGTACTACTTCATTTTTACCCATCTCATTACTAAATCTGACAAGGATAATTCTATTTTTTAACATACTATTTTATTCAGTCCATATTTTGCCCAAAGCCTTTGGATGAACCCCTTAATCACTACAAATGGAGGGTAAACACCCAGAACATAACATACAACAACATTTCTCCAGTATTCTACTTCAGTTTCAATATCCTTTAATTCAAGTTCAACAAATAGGAGACTCACCATGCAATTTAAGTGCCACATATTCCAATTTGAAACCTGCATTTGAGATTTTAGAAATATCAAAATTGTCCTAGATCGATGCCCTAGGTACTGAGTTTTCCTCCTCTTCGAATTCATCAGCCCATGATTTCTTCCCACTACTACTTGATGTACTTTTCTCTCCACTTATCAGCTCTGCATGATTTCATT